CTCCGTCGAGCTCGCTGAGGTCCACCAGCTTCGTGCCCTTCCGCGGCGCCTTCTCGTTGCCGCCGCCCTTGCCTGCTGCATTGGCCGCCTTGGCGGACTGGGGGCCGCTCTTGCGCCCTCCCTTGGCCGTCTTCTTCGGCCGTCCTTCGGCGTCGCCCTCGGCTATCTCGGGCAGTCCCTGCATCCACGACATGCGGCCGAGGTTGAGGAAGATGAGTAGTGCGAATGTGGTGCTGCAGGGCTTGAAGATCATCAAAGTCTCGGCCACAATCTGTCTCGGGGCACTCAAACAGCAGCGGAGCGATGACAGCATGATTGAACGCCGAGAAGTCAGCAATGCATCGTCCATGTCTATAGGCGGCAGTGATGTGGTTGATAGCAGTGCGGCGGCAAGCGAACGAGGACAAACAAGAAGGACACTGATTCGTCACTGTCAATCTCGTGAAGAAGTTCAGTTTTCCGTGCTCTCCTCCGCCTGCGTGTGTCTGATGCGCACGAAGCGCCACCATTGTGCGAAACCTACGGTTGCACTCCAGACCCTCTCCGTCGAGCAGCGAACACAGAAAACCGCCCTCGAAGCACTCCTGATCCTCGCGCGGCCTCGTGGGAGTAATGGTGGGGCGCTCAAGCCAAACCTTGCGGAGCTTCGCTACATCGAACTTGAGAAACCGCCGTTTCAGTTCTGCGTCCAGGAAAACCTTCATGTGATCGCCCCCCACTGCCTCCAGGAAATCCAGGCCCCCTCGAAGCTTCCCAAGGAGAAACAGGTCGTTCTTGTACTGCAGGGCCCAGGGATTCGTGCGATCCTTTGGAGCGATGGGCGGGGCACACGGTGGCGTCCACGCAAAAGTCTGGATCTCTGGGTTCTCGAAGGTGACTTTCCCGAAAACTGCAGCGAGCTCCTGAACGTGCCGTTGGGGATTGCGGGCGAGAGCTTGAAAGTGGCGGAGCCGTCGGATACCGAATTCCACGCTGGGGGGTACTATCGCGATGCGCTTCCACACGGCTTCCGCACACACCGTCGTCACCTTCCACCTGGCCTCCGCAGCTTCGCCTCCCTCCTCCACCTCACCCTCGTTCAACCTGCGATAGACCGCAACCCCATTGCACAGCGCAGCAGCATAGCGCGTGGCCGCCGAATCAAGACGCTTGACCTGCTCCTCTGCCAAAACCCGAGCTTCAAGACCCGCAAGCGCCGCTCCTAAAAGACGTGCCCGAAACACCAGACGCCTCCGATTAAAATTCTGACAGGTCTTCCAGAACTTCCCCATTCCTCGCCAGCCCACTCGGATCGCCGCGCATCTAGCTCGGATCTCCTCGTCGTTCCTCCCCGAAGACTGCGTGTGAGCTCCCAAGAACACCGAAGTCGCCTGGACCTCCCCCGAGATGGCGACCTCGTGGTAGCGCAGGGCCCCTGCAGACCTCTGAGCCCCGCGGCCCACGAAACACTGGCTGACAGCTTTTTTTTCTCGCGGCTCTGAGCGAGGCCAACCCGACCCAGTGCTGCATCAAGATGCCGATCGGAAACTTCCACGCGAAGAGCTGCACTGCGCGCATCTGGGACAATGTGAGTACATGTGAGGTCATCAGCATACTTCCTCACTCCCAGACCGCACACTTCCTGAGTGACTGCACACCCTGCTATCAGCTCGTGGACCGACGTCGTAGGAAAGAGATCTCGCCTCCACTCAGCCGTCGGCGTCTAAAAGGCTAATAATCGAAACTTCGTGGCCGCGTCTGCATCGCCCATGAAACAACCCACTCGGTTCTGAAATGCACCCGTGCCATCGCAAGCATCGACCACACACGCTGTGTTCCGATGTCGTGTTACCATAATCTCCACATCCTCAGGCTGGTACAGCTGCTGGACCGTGTCGTCGAGGTGGTGGTGAGTGACGCTGGCGAATGCGTTCGTCATGTCGTGCTTGGTCGCGATGTGGCTCAGGCCTGCTGCACCGAGTCGCCATTGCAACACATTGCCCACAGTCAACGCACCCGCTCGCGACCGCCCTCTCACATAGCCATGGTCCTCTGGTGGTGGAGTCAGTCCAGGCCTAGGCTGTCTCGCCCCAACCCATGCCTTGCCAAAACTACAGAGCCCGTGGAGTAGACGTGTCCCCCTCGTCCGTGGTTTTGTGATTCAGTTTGCTTACCTGGTACGTCTGCGAGAGGTTCCACCAGGCGTTGAGTCGATTGTGTTGTCGTACCCCTGCTAGTTGTGCCAGAAGACACTCCTGTAGGTAAGCACCCGCCACAGCTGGTCGGTCATTGGTGGTGCGTCGGGGCGCGCGGCAGGTGAGAAGAGTGCTCCGGACCTCCATCGGTAGTGACCACGGTGGTGCTGCTCGTCGGCGTCGACCGTGGTAGAACTTCGCAATTACTCCATCCAGATCACGGTTGGCCTGCTCCCAATGCTTCATTTCGGGGTGGAATGGGTAGTCGTGGGCGGACGCTGCACCAATAAACTCTTCCGCCGTAGTAGCAATGGCCCCCATCCCACCTTCCCGTCCACTCAGTGCCAAGTCCTCCGTCCACGTTTGTAAGTCGGGCCTGGCATCAGGTAGTATGTAGTGATTCCGCTTCCGTGGTCCCAGTCCATTGCCCGCCATCTGAAAACTGATCCTCCAGGCCAGATCTTCTCGGTTGCCTCGTAGTGCCTCCTCCAGTTCGCGATTCAGCTCACTCTGTCGTTCCCTCTTGATGGTCATCCTTGCCTGCTTGCACCGTCGTGTACACTGTCGCAGTCGTCGGATGCTGTCCAGGTCGCCGTCGAGCTTGTCACGTGCTCTGGTGCGAGCCCGCAGCGCCGCCTCCCTTTCTCGCGCCATCTCTACGTACCACTGCGGCCGGTGTTGTCGTGTAGTACTGTACCGTGGTTGGGCTGCTGTGCGTATCGTCGCAACCACTTTCTCCCAGGCTGTCTCGAGCGTGTGAGAGCGCATCCAGGCGTTCACCTCCAGGTACCCGTCGTCGTGTACTTGTTGCGCAAGGGCCACCTCCACCTCCTCTCGGAACTGGTGTGCCTCCTCCTCGTCATTCATCGCACGTCCCAATGAGAGGTAGTCCCAGTGTGCGCCGTGGTTGGCAGGCGCGCTGTAAGTAAGCTCGTAGTCCAGCTCCGCAACAAGAATCATGTGATCCAGCACAGCCACACTAGGGATCGCGCGTACCCGTCGAGTGAGGGAGTACGCAACAGCACAGCGCTTCACACGGCTCATCCAAGGAGCGGAGATCACCAAGTGATCTATATAGCTGCAGCTGCGGTGACCGTAGTATGTCGGGTCACAGGGATACCAGCTCGTGATCGCTGCCAGGTTGCGTTGCTCCATCCAGTCGCGGTAGTGGGTGCCCGCCTGGTGCTCTGTACTGCGTCCGTAAGGTCCCAAACACTCACTGTCCACTGCCTGCTGAATGCCGTCGACACTCCGAATACCCAAGCCATCATTTAGATCCGTCGCCGCAATCGTCGTAGATCGATTAGGAGTCCCCGCAGTAATCTGTTGTAACTGTTCAACCAGCTTCCTGACCGTCGCCTCATACTTCGGAATGCCCTTGGCATCTGTACACCTCGGGGGAAAATACCTGACCACTAAGGTGAAGTCGTGTTGGCTTGATCTCACTCGTACCGCACCCAGTCGTCCTTGCAACCCGTGGGGGACTGCCCAGAAGTGCACCAGTTGTGACCGTCGAAATCGTCTCCGATTCAGCCAGATCTCCACTCCACACGATTTGTTGACCATCGCTCCTCGGGGGCCCTGCCATCCAAACTTGATCATAATGAACTGCTCGTGGAGGGCGACGTCGTGGTGAGTAGGTGCATCGCGCTGCTTCTTCACCGTAGTCCCTGCAAGCAGCACCACATCAGCGAAGCGTAGCTGTTGTGCCACTTCGAGTCGCCTATCATAATCGCTCAAAGAGAGAGGGTTCCATTGCGCAATCTTCATACGGGTGGTCGCACATCGCAGCACCGATGTGAGGCAAAAAATGAGGGCTGCGGAACTGGCCCTCATGCCCTGGGACCTCGGGCCAGGGCGTGATGATGATGATGATGATGATGATGATGATGGTGGTGGTGGTGGTGATGATGATGAGGAGGAGGAGGAGGAAGACGATGAGGAGGAGTAGGAGTGGGGGAGAAAGAGGAGGAGGAGGAGGAGGAGGAGGAGGAGGAGGAGGAGGGGGAAGAGGAGGAAGAGGAGGCGGAGGAGGAGGATGAAGGAGGAGGAGTGGAGGAGGAGGAGGAGGAGGAGGAGGAGGAGGAGGAGGGCGACGAGGAGGAGGAGGAGGAGCATGAGCAGGAGGGAGGAGGAGGCTGAGAAGTGGAGGAGGAGGAGGAGGAGGAGGAGGAAGAGGAGGATGAAGAGGAGGCATTCCATCGCAAAACCAGCGAAACCCAAGAAACCCACGGCACCCTGGAGGCAAGCAGGGTGTTTCTTGGCATGGGCTTCCACTGTAGATGACCAAGCCCGAACGCGGAGAACTCGTGGATCATCCTGGAGATTTGGCGACGGCCGGCATGGACCGTGACCAAGATCGGCGTCGACACGATCCCGTGACATCTTCGTCACAGTCATCAGTTGAATTTGGCAAGGGGCCAAGGGCAAGCGGGAGAGGACGAGGGCAAGTCCGCTCAAAATCGGTCCCCATGACCCCTCCCGGGATCGAAACTGACTAGCTCTTCGACCCGCGTCCAGCCGTGGCGACGAGGAATCCCCTTTCTCCTTCCTTTCTGCTGGCCGGAACCAGTGCTGGGCCAATTCAGCCCCCCAGCCGGCTCTGGTCATACGATGTGATACGTGCAGTAGGGGCCCGACCACAAGAAACCTTCCACAAGAAACCCAATCCTGGAAGCCCAGGACGTCCATTGATTTGTGGTGTGGGAACGGTCACGCACCCCATAGCAAAACCATCGAAACCCAAGAAACCCAGTGCACCCTGAAGGCAAGCAGGGCGTTTTTGGCATAGATTTCAACTGTACGCAATGTTATCCCCTCGGGCACCGCGTCCCGCTGCGCGGGGGAGTCGCCGAACAAGGCTCGCCCGAGCGCGGCGGTGGCCTCCGACCAGAACCTCCACTCGAACTGCCTCTCCTTGGGACGCCCGAGGTGGGTACAATGGGGGCTCGGCCACAAGAAACCTCCGCAAGAAACCCAACCCTGAAATCCGCGATTTGTTAAACGAAAATCAAAAAAACTGTCGATCGGAAGTCATCAAGATCTTATTGGGGGGCCATCGAAGTCCAAGAAACCCAGGGCACCCTGGCAAAATCCAACTGGTTTCTTGGCACGCGCCCCCACTGTACAGGCGGCCCGTGTCATAAGGATGCGCGATAAGGATGCATGGGCCTGGGGCGCCCATCTCGAAGCTTTTCGAGCGTGGTGCGGCCAGCGAAAGTGGCCAAGGATGGACCGAGCAGGCAAGGATGCAAGGGTGCCCTTGGGAATGTTGCCCATCCTTCCGATGCGGGTTGACTGTGCGGAAACGATGGGCACGATGCCCGACGGCAAATGAGCGGCGAAAACAAACAGCCCTGAAGCAGGACTACGTAGCGACCTCACGCGGTGGCTTACGAGGGCCGCCGGCGCGGTACGCTACACTGGAGACGAGGGAGCTCACGCGCGACCTTGTGCGGGCAGCTTGCGCGCCAGCGTCGGCGCAGACGGCCCCGATGTCTGTTTCTGGCGTCGCCCAAATGCTGCCCGGAAACCGACGGTGGCCGCTGCTGGGCAGGCGGCCTCCTGCCTCACGTCGGCAGCTCCCGCGGCGGCACCCACAGAGAGCCCCGTGCAAAGTGGGCGCGACTTGCTGTCAGCCTCCGTTCGGTCTCCTCCTCCTCCGCGGCGCCGCCGTCGGCAGGCCGGGCGCCGCACTGCTGCAGCAGGCTGGACGACATCAGCGCCGCGAGGTCGCAGCGCACCAGCCTCTGGGAGGAAGAGAAGCTGCAGCTAGGCCACCCCAACTTCGCGCATCCCGCCCCGCGAGGAGGAGGAGGAGGAGGAGGATGAGGAGGAGGAGGAGGAGGAGGAGGACGAGGAGGAGGAGGAGGAGGAGGAGGAGGAGGAGGAGGAGGGAGGGAGGGAGGGAGGGAGGGAGGGAGGGAGGGAGGGAGGGAGGGAGGGAGGGAGGGAGGGAGGAGGGAGGGAGGGAGGAGGAGGAGAGGAGGAGGAGAGAGGGAGGAGGAGAAGAGGAGAGGAAGAGGAGGAGGAGGAGGAGGAGGAGGAGGAGGGAGGAGGAGGAGGAGGAGGAGGAGGAGGAGGAGGAGGAGGAGGAGGGAGGAGGAGGAGGGAGGAGGAGGAGGGAGGGAGGGAGGGAGGGAGGGAGGAGGGAGGGAGGGAGGGAGGAGGGAGGAGGAGGAGGAGGAGGAGGAGGAGGAGGAGGAGGAGGAGGAGGAGGAGGAGGGAGGAGGGAGGAGGAGGGAGGAGGAGGAGGGAGGAGGAGGAGGAAGAGGGAGGAGGAGGAGGAGGAGGAGAAGGAGGAGGAGGAGGCCGAGGAAGAAAAGGAGGTATGAGGGAGGAAGAGGAGGACGAGCAGGGAGGATCCGGAGGAGGACGGATAAAGATCTAG